TGACGCAGAATTGCTGCGAAGCTCAGGTCGCTTGCATCTGGGTGAATCACAAACTCCCTGTTCAAATCGCGTAGCTGCAGCTGAGCCGTGTTGGCCAGCAACTTCGTGAGGCGACGAAATGCGGCCTCCTGCTCTTGGCTCCAAGCCCAACGTTCGCCATTCCTCAAAAGCTTCGTGAAAGGCGCCTGCACTGCCGCGCAGTCTGGAATGAATTAGCAATTAAAGTTCACCATCCCCAGAAAGCGCCTCAGCTTACCAATATTGTTCGGCGGTGGATAGCCAACTATCGCTTCAAGCTTACCCTTATCCGGCAAAATGCGACCCTCGTCAAGCGTAAATCCCAATGTTATTAGGGTCGCCGCTATCTGAGCTTTGTTTGGGTTCAGAGTGATACCCGCAGGTCTCAGCCTTTTTAGAAATTCTCATAAGTGGCGCAAGTTCTCTTCAAACGTTTTTGAGTAAACATCTATATCATCTAGATATGCGAGTGCATGCTGCCACTTTGCATCTCCCAAAACATGGTCCATTAGCCTTTGATACGAAGCGGAAGCTCCCTCCAAGCCAAAAGACATTGTCCTGAATTGAAAAAGTCCTCTGTGGCACGTGAAAGATGATTTCTCATTATCTTGCTCGTCCATCTCAACCTGAGATTATCCACGGCTGGCATCGAGCGTAGTGAAGTACTTCGCCCCGCCTAGGTTGATTACTAGCGATGAAATAGAGGGAAGGAGGTATGCGTCCTTCGTAACATCATTCAGTCTGCGGTAGTCTACACAAAGGCGATACGTATTTTTCTTTGGAACTAGAACTACCGGAAAACCCCATGGGCTGTTTGACATCTCAACTACGCCTGTGTCGATGAGTTCCTCCAAGGCGGCGTCATGCACTTTCCGCTTAGCCAAGCTGATTGGTCAGGGATTGCATTTCCAAGGTCGTGCGTCACCCGTATCAATTCGATACTTGACCAGCGTAGTGTGGCCGGGACGGTCAGTAAACATCGCGTCATACTCGTACAACAGCGATGACAGCTGCATTCGTTCCGCTTCCAGTAGGCTCTGTGCCTCTACAAAAAGTAGGTGCACTGCCCTTTCCTGCAGCGCAGCACATTGTTCCGGCTGGGTGGTTACTCGCTTTATCGGCGCGCTTTTCTCCCTGCGTACTCGCCCCTCTCCCTGCGATCGACATGCCTTTGTCAATGCGGGGGCCTTCGAGAAAAGCTTAAGCACGTCTTCGTTGCACTCGCCGTAACCGCCGTTTGCAATGTCAATGACAATACCCGACTTGGCAAGGAAGTCTCGACACAGAATTACAGGCATTGACAGCCCAGAAAGATGCACGAAACGTTGTCGCCTCACGCGTATATCCCAGCAGATCACTAGCCTAGCCACACTGCTCGATTGTGCTGTGCCTACAGCCAGGCAGAAAATGGCGTTGCTTTGTCTCAAGCGGATATTGTTCTCCTGAAGATGGTGCATCACATCGTCGCCGAACAAAAAAGCGCTTGCCCCAGTATCCAAAAGTGCTATGAACTTCTTTCGAGCTATCCTTAACAAGATTAGCAGCTAGGGCGAGTCTATGGCTTCACCTGCGCGACAGACTGGCGGTGCAAGTGATTCGATCGCAACGGTGGAATTACTGATCGACGCGTGGGGTTCGATGTGGATCACCAGCGGCGCCGTCCGTTTCCCGAACCGCGCGTTTGCTGCTGACCTGGTGTGTGATCGTATTCGTGGACGACGTGCCCCGGTGCGCCGCACCGATAGCAAGGACCGCGGAAACCACGCCGGCTCAACCATAGGTCGCTTCGATCAGATGGTTCTTGCTCTGGGTTGCCTCGCAAGCTCCTGCCTTGGAATATTTCGCCCGGGGGCGGCGTGAGTTGTATGGAGCGCGTAAGCGTAGGGGTCTAAAGCACGGTCTGACAGCTCCCAACCGTGTGGTACCTGCTCATCAGCGAACAATGCCGACGCGTTACCCTTAAACGCTTCTGAAACTACCTCGCCGCCATTCCACGCACAGCGAGGCTCGATCGACTGCGCTGCGGGCGGAGGTGGGTGGTACGATGGTGCAGCGAGGATGTCCCTTTGTATGCGATTCGCCTCGGTGTCGAGCTCTTCTAAGTCTGCGTACTTACACCTCCTGGAGTGCACCGCAAAAGTCTGGTGCACTTGACGCGTAACATGCTCGAGTTTTTCCGCGTTGGTGGCGTGAGGGTTAGCGAGACGATACAGTTTGTTCATTGCCCGTACATACTCCAGCGAGGATTCATCCAGATGCTGGGTGTTGTGTGGATCTAAGGCGTGCCCGCGACCATTTCGCGGGCCTTCCACCACACGGCCACACCCTTTTGCTTTTCTGCTCTGCTAACACCACGTGGCGATAGATGGCGCCAGGTGTGGGCGGCACGGGTTACGTGCGCGCTGAGGGAGCTGACGTCTCTCTCCTCCATGGTCAGCGCCGGGTAAGCATGTGTTTTCCTTCGTACGCGTCCCCTTTGAGAATCGCCGGACTGTAGCATGCCTAGGGTGGCCTGTCGCACCTCGGCAGGTGTGTTTACTTGAGTGCTAGCTTCGGTACCGTACGCTAAGCCCACAGCGGTGCCTAGCGCTTGAAGTGGTCGTACCACACCGAGCCACACTTTCCGTAGGCCTACGCGTACGGGGTTTGCCCTAACACTCGCGACCAGGCCCATTAGCCATCGTGAGAGTGCGCAGCATAGCCGCAAGGGACCTTTTCCCGACCGGCGTGTCAAACCTCGCCATTGTCAGCTGCGACGACTCGCGGCTTTTCCGCTTATTGTGAACGTCCGCGTGCGGGTGCCTTTGCTACCCTCGTCCCTGGAGCGGACGTTGTACTGTTGTTCGGCGTGCCACAAGAAGCAATAAAGTTTTGTGTATTTTTCACTAGAACACTGTCTGTTTGCCGTTCCGCGCTAAACGCCTAATTAGTTGAGCGCGCGCAGAGCGGTACGCTACACGTGAGTAAGTGACGGAGTCACGGCCCTGTGGCTCGCTAAGCGTGAACCCGCGGTGATCATCTGCTGTAGTTAGTAACGGGGTCTCCATAGTGTGTAGCACCAATTTCTTCTGGAAACACCACTCATAATTAGCTGGTAGGAACACGCCACGGAAGCTGTCGCAGAACTCTTCTATTGTGTTAGCGCGATGTCCAATTAGTCGGAATCATCGGGCTGCTTGCTCCGTGAGCGGAACCTGGACTACGCGCTCGAGAAGTTCTGTGTCAGAAAGCCTCGTCGCCTGCTGATAATGAAGCAACCGGTCGAGATACTCGTTCGCGCTCTTGCAGTCGTGGTAACCCGTGTAGATAAGTATGTCTACCTTGACACGTGGTCGCACAGTGTGCACGGAGGCCTGTGCTGTGTTCTGCAGGGTGCTCACAAGGCTTTGCATAACTGACAGCGCATTCTGTAATAGTACCTCACTCGAGGGCAAACTCTTGCTCGCAGACTCTCCTACAGTTGCGGCACGTGTCAGAGCAACTTGTGGCGGCGCCTCTCTGTTCGCATCGTAAGATCTGGAGCACCATGCGTGATGCTTTTGTCGTAGGCCTAATCTCTGCTAACGCGGTTCTGCACTCTCCTGATCATCCCGCGTGAAACGACCAAAATCTACGCTGTCAGAAAGTCCTAACAGTGCCCCCACGTTAGCCAAAGGATCGCCACTCTGCGACGCGACCTCGGACAATATTGACAAATCTTGGAAATCCGACATACATGTTATCCTACGTGTGGGGGAGCGTCGGTAGTTGCTCGGATTCACAAAACTAGCCACGTTGCCAAATTCGTTACATTGGGCACCAGATTTAGGGGGTCCGTCCTATAAACGGCTGACGCAAAAGTCTAGCTAATGTTTCAGCCCCATACAGTCGTACTGTGCACGATTAACGTCCCCTATCCGTAGCTAGTCTCATTGCAGCTACACGGGTTCGGGCGAATAAGGCAACAGGCTAGGTCAACAAAATGACACTTTATTGCTAGACGTTAGCAATAGCGCGCAAATGTCGCGAGGAGATAGTACAGAAACAAGAGTAGATGCTTACTCCTTCGTGGTTGACGTCCTCGGCTAGCAGGGGGGTTGCGGTTTCAACCTCCTTCGTTCCTAGCCAGTGTCAGATCATGCGCCCGTACGCACACTAGTTTTGTCCACTGACCCGGTTTCACTCTTCCTGACAAGAATAATACCTTTTCTCACTGAGGGAGGGGAAACCCGTTCTACTCGCCAGGAAAGGGGCAATCGCGAGCGCCGGCTGAGGGGGTGTTCCCGCAACTAGGCTTTCGCGCTGCCATAAAAAGAGAAAGGGAGGCTGGCTGCGCGTGCTACCCCCCACGTTTATGCTCTCCAAGCCGAGGGGTACGTAGAGAAAGCATGAGAGAGAGAAAATAAAAAGGAAAGCCGTTCCGCAAGTTAGAGATTGTGCAGTCCGAGCCCTCTCGCTTTTACCTTTTTTCGAGCGTTTCCCGTTATGGCGGAGGCGTGGTGCCACATGGAGGTCACCGAGTGCTGCGAGTGCTAAAGTGCGCCTTCCAACATGCGGGTGGAGTTGCGCTACCACGGAGATTGAGGGGGGAGGGCTGAGTGCCTTCCCCCCTCACCACCGCACCTTCCAGCTCGCGCAACGTTCGATATATTCAAAGGTGGGTAAAAATACCATTCGATATAAATGTGTGAATTTCTATACATTTTACAAAAGAATTTCAAGGAGATGACTTGCGAGTTCGATATACCCAAAAGTTTTATACATCTGGGTTCAATAGAACCATGTTTGACTGTAGGTGTTTTACAAGAATGCCACCTCTTTGACAAAAACAACTCTTTCCTGAGGACTCAATCCAAAAACAAGCCACCAGAGTAGAGGCCTACATCAGAAAGAATGCTGTAGTCGTGAGAACTTGACAAATGCAGTGTGATCTTCAAAGCATCGTGTATTAGAAAATGCTCAAAATGTCAGTGAATACGCAGAAAGTGTAATGCCAGACATACCTGATACTGTGACAAATGGGCTGCATAACACGCCATCAGAAGTGGAGACTCAGCTATTGGACGATCCATTTGATGATGCAGGTTCACAAGTGTCACATCCTCCTGTAGAAGTGAAGCACCACTTTTCTTCAGTGCGTGTCAGAGAGCTGTTCATGACTTATGCATAAGATTCTTGATTTAGCTATGCTTGCATGAGAGCTCATATTTGTGCTGGCAGAAATACAGTGACTTTAATAAAAAGAACACAAAATCAAAAATTTTTAGAAGACTCAAGTCACAACAGGGTTCGTACAGGTTTCCAAAGCAAATATTCAAGGATATTCAAGGACTTTCCAGGACCTGTTGCAAGTTTTTCAAGCACTCAAAGCGACATGCTAAGTCGAAATTTTTCTTTTCAAAATTTTGAAAAATGACCAATTTTAGCATTACAATAAATATATGAATATCATAAGTACGTATAAAAAAAAGAGCATAGTCTTGATAACTTCTCGCACCCTCTCCCACACTCTCCATAGGGAGAGGGCACGATACATGTCGGAAAGTTGCGCGCTGATGGGCTTCAATGCACATGTGTAGTCAGGCCTTAAAGGGGTCGCACCACAATATTTGTAGCTTGTGCGATCTTTGCTGCAATCTTTACTATAGCTCCAATAAGCACGATACATGCACCAAGATTCATTTATTTTCGCTATATAATTTGTTGCCTTTTTGATATGGACAATTTCCAGCTCCTGTTTGTGGGGACCGAGTTCCTGTTTGGGGGGACTTAGTCACGTGATCACAAAGCTTTGCACGCGTCACGCTGAGTATGGTAAGCTCTCGCACGCATGTAGCACACAAGCCTCTGCAAAACAAACTCGCTGCTATCTGCAGCAGCCGCGATACTTTGACGGTATGTACGAAGCGGAAGTCCAGAGGCCGCTCACCTGACTACAGATCTGGTGTAACGTCACTAGAACTTTCGTTGCCCTTCCTATAGAGGTACGTCAGCATTGAATGCGCTCGCGATGGGCCTCGATTAGGAGAATGAGAATTTAGGTACACTTGGGGAAGTGACCTAACGTGATCACAAAGCTTTGCACGCGTCATGCTGAGTATGGTAAGCTCTCGCACGCATGTAGCACAGAAGCCCCTGCAAAACAAACTCGCTGCTATCTGCAGCAGCCGCGATGCTTTGACGGTATGTACGAAGCGGAAGTCCGGAGGTCACTCACCTGACTACAGATCTGGTGTAGCGTCACTAGAACTTTCGTTGCCCTTCCTATAGAGTATGGTGACCCTGCTATAACTGCAGTGGACGATCACCGCGGGTTCACACTATGCGAGCCACAGGGCCGCTACTCTGTTTACTCGCGTGTAGCGCACCGCTCTGCGGGCGCTCAACTAATAAGGCGTTTAGCGCGGCGCGGCAAATAGACAGTGTTCTAATGCAAAAGTACACAACACTTTATTGCTCTGGCGGCACCCCGAACAACAGTACAACGTCCGCTCCCGAGACGCAGGTAGCAAAGGCACCCGCACGCGGACGTTCACAATAAGGGGAAAACCGCGAGCACGTCGCAGCTGGCAATGGCGAGCTTTGACACGCCGGTCGGGAAAAGGTTCCTCGCGGCTATGCTGCGCACTCTCACGATGGCCAATGGGCCTGGTCGCGAGTGTTAGGGCAAACCTCGTACACGTAAGCCTACGGCAAGTGCGGCTCGTTGTGGTACGACCACTTCAAGCAATAGGCACCGCTGTGGGCTTAGCATACGCTACCGAAGCTAGCACTGATGTAAACACGCCTGCCGATGTGCCCAAGGCCACCCCTGGCAGGCTACAGTCCACGATTCCCAAAGGGGACGCGGACGAAGGAAAACACGTGCTTACCCGGCGCCGACCCACGGAGAAAAGAGCGCTCCCTCGGCGCGCGCGTACCGCGTGCCGTGCCCGCACGTGGCGCCATCTATCGCCACGTGGTGTTAACAGAGCAGGAAAAGCAAAAGGGTGTGGCCGTGTGGCGGAATGCCCGCGAAATGGTCGCGGGCGCGCCTCAGATCCCCACAAGAGCTACGTCAGTGTTGGATGCGCTCGCGATGGGCCTCGATTAGGGGAATGAGAATTTAGGTACACTTCGGGAAGTGACCTAAAATATATTCTTAAACCCACACGGTGCCTGCTATAGCCTTGAAATTTGATGGCACCACCCCATCAAGAGTGCCAGCTTGTGCACCGTTGACACTCGCAGCACGTTGCTCAACAACCAAGAAGTAACAACTGTGACAGTGGTTAACAACTTACACTCGTCCTGTGGATCCATTTATGTTCTTTTCTAGCACCCTTCTTGGTTTGTTTAAGCAGCAAGCTTCCAGAGTCGAGCTTTGACACTCGTTCACCAGCACTCGTCTTGCGCGCTCTTTTTTTTTTTTTGTGCGCCCTTCATGCTTGAGCGGCGCGTTGCATATATGGGGTTGCTTGCCATTCTTTGTGTGATGTTTTAATTTCTTGCTATCACATTCACTGCTTCACTCTCGCCACAAACTGACTTTTTTTCCACAAGCACTTTCGCAAAATGGGATCATGTGCACCCATGCTGCATTACTGCTTCAGAAACGGGGAGTTTGACAGGTTGACACACCAATGTACCACATTTAAGAGGTCCCGATGTCGATGTAAGAGTGTACTGCTCAGGATATTCCAGGATTTTCAAGGTCCTTGAAAATGCATTTTTCAAACTCAAAGGTCCTCAAGAATTTCAAGGGTCTTCAAGGATTTGAAGGACCTGTACGAACCCTGCAAACTTTTCTTTAGTCTACAAACAGACCAAATACATATGCAGTCAAACCTGACCATATAAAAAAACTCTGGTAATTATCTCTTACAGTAAACTATTTTCAAACACAGCAATGCTTTAAGGTCAATGCGCAGGAAAGTTGACAGTCACATCAAACAAAAATAGCCTGAACACTCAACATATCAAACAGTGGGCCACCTGAAACATGTTACTTTTCTGCAGTCCTAAGGAATGGGACCCCTGTCGGAGAGCGAGCGGTGTGATTAGCAAAGTGCTGGGTGGACTGAGTAGAAGGCATCGCTTTCAGAAGCTCTTTGATTCTCCAGGCTTTACCTTTATTAACATGATGAAACAAAATAAGCCGCTGTTTGTATCGGAGCGTGGTCTAGCAACTGTGGCCCAATTGTCAAGCATAAAAAAAAGCATCCGATAATAAACCAGGGTTCTTATCGACTTGTCAGTCTCCGGCTCTCTGTCGTCAGTTGAAGCATGGTGTCAGAAGTGGCTCGCCGATGATAGGCGCTGCGCGCGCAGTTGCGCAGTGTTCTCGTCGTCTAGGGTTGCCCGAGCTGCCAATACAAAAGCACTTCCGCCCCCCAACCAACTCGTTCTCTCGGATAACGCCGCCGAAAATTAGAAAAGGTTCAAGCAGCGCATCCAGCTGTACTTCAAAGCAAGGGGCAAAGACAGCAAGCCGAGTGCAGAAAAAGCTGCTGTATTCCTACACGTGGCTGGCAATGAGCCGATAAAAGTGTACAACACATTTCAGCAGTCTCAAGCAGAACAGGAACATTATGACGTCATCATCAAAACCTTCGAGGAGTACTGCATGCCACAGCGCAATTAAACGTACAAAAGGTATGTTTTCCGTTCCCGCCTGCAGTAGCAAGACGAAACACTTGAGCAGTTCCTCAGAGGCGTACAAATAGCAGCACAGATGTGCAACTCTGGAGACCTGAGGGATTCAATGGTACGTGACTAACTCATCTGTGGGATGAAGGATAAGAAGCTCAGGTCATGCCTCCTAAGAGAAAAAGATTTGAGCCTATCCAAGGCTACAGATTTTTGCAAAGCAGCTGAGCTTGCAGTCATTTAAGAACAACTGTGGGACAAGGAAGAAAGCACAACGAAGGCCTGTGTCGTGGAGAAACGTAACCGACGTGAAGCTCGAAAACAGTCAACTCGTTCACGCATCTACTGCAATAGGTTCCATTCACCTAGGAAATACTTAGCGTGAAAAAAGACATGCTAAACCATTTTGCTGTTTTCTACAGAGGGCAAAAGGTTAATGAAGTAGAGCGTGAAGCACGCGAGGAGCAAGAAGACTCTGAGCAGGACTTCCAAATTCTGGCCGTGCAAATAAGCGGCGTGAAAAGTACGGTGGGTCGAGACTGGACAATTCATGGAAAGGTGGGCATGAAAACGGTGATGTTCAAAGTCGACACTCGTGCGCAGGCAAACTTGCTGCCTCACTCTCTTTTCGTAAAGCTAATAAGAGCTGCGAAGGTGCGCCCAAGCAAGACAGCCAAGCGCGTCCACGCCGTCTCAAGTCAGCCAGGTGTGGGAGAGCAAATAACAGAGGAATTTCCGCAGTTGTTCACGGAACTTGGCTGTGTAAAGCGTGATTACCGGATCACAATAAAAGACGGAGCCAAGCCAGTAGCTGTGTCAGCAAAGTGTGTGCCCCACGCGAGGCAAGGTTCTCTGCGTGAGGAAATGGAACGCATGGAAACCGAAGGCATCATCGTGTAGACGGAGGAACCGCCAGAATGGGCAAGTCCACTGGTCATCGTCGAAAAGAAGGGCGGAGGAATTCGAGTCTGCATGGATCCGCAACATATAAACGAAAACATAATGCGAGCGGTACGAGCTTTCTAGAAGGGAAAGCATCGAGGCAGAGTTAGTGGGAGCTAGATGGTTCAGCTAGCTGGATGCAAATCGAGGGTTTTATCACATGCAGCTGGACGACACATCATCAAGAATTTGCACGTTCAGCACCCATACGGGCGATACAGATTTTTGATAGGAATGGGCGAATATTCGGTGTTGCGAATATTCGATCGAATTCTGCCCTATTCGTTATTCGCTTCGATACGAATTCAGGTATTCGGTATTTTTGAATTATTCGGTGCTTCCGAATAGGCAGCAAAGGCCATGGATGCCCGGTACAAATACAAATCTCTGAGTCTATGCTTTACACGTCATGGCTGCCATACATCCGTTAATCTCCAAGGCCATGCATTGAGGAGCCGGAAATACCTCATCGCTGCCATGTCCACGGCAACAGTCACCCAAAAGCTCATTGTGTAAGCCGCCCCGCATTGCTGTA